CAGGAATGCTTTTCCATTTAAAAAAGAAAAAGAAAAAATGAAAGGTTTATGTGAGATCTGCCTGGCCACAGGCTCCTGAATTGCTCTGAAGGGGTGGTCCAAAGGTACCAGGGATGGAATTGTGCTGCTGCTGCCTTGTCAGCAAAAGTTCCCAGGGGATGGGGTTGTTGAGAGTTATCTTGGCAACTCTGAAGCATTGAAACAAGCCTCATTTGTGCTTTATGAATTACAAGCAATTTTGCTGCCAGCAAACTATTTCCTGAGTCAACCAAATACAAACGTTTTTAGGAGAACAACTTCAGAGAACTTTTTTGAAGTCCAACATCTTCAATGTCACATCTCTGGAGTTTTTAAAGCTTCACAAGTTCCTGCATGGTAGGGAAAAAAGTTGAAGGAATAGGGTGTAAGAGGAGGGGATAAGTCATTCAAGAAACACAGCTGAATGCAGATGTCCACAGAGAAAATTGGAACCAAGCAAAAGAGATGCTGCTGTGCACCCAGTCCCAGCTCTGCCACAGCAGCTCTAGCTCTGTGGGAGTTTGCCATCCACTCCCTCTCCAGCAAGCAAACCACAGCAAGCTGGGTAAAGGTGAATATCCACAGCATGTTTCTGCCAAAACATTCATATGGTGTCTGCAAGAGAAGGGCTGGCCTGGGGCTGTGCAGCCTTGGCTGCTTGACACAGCCTGGCACATTTCAGCTCAACTAAGCCAGGCTTACCTGTAGCACACAGCAGTTATACTGTGGCCTAACACCTCTCCTTACCTTTTTATCCTTTAATTTGACAGTATTACCAAGCCCTTCATGGGAAGGTGAGTGAGAAGTAATTCTTCAGCTTGTGTAAAAACTTGATGAAAAACAAGTCAGAATCAAAGACCATGGTTTCCGCATCACTTTTTAGTACTGCTGACACCTAACGACCATTTGGGGCATACTCAAGCTTTGCTTAGGTATGTGCACTAGGACATCTGTCTCCTGGGACATGCTGAAAATCTGAGCATGGAGGAGACTAGGTTGAGCCCTCATGTGGCTCTGTCTTGCCCATTGTGTCCTGCTGGGCTGGACTTGCCCCGACTGGTGACCACAAACTGCTTGGCAGGCTAGTTTGTTCCCTCTGCAGCACAAAGCACACACCATCTGAAGGGGATGGGGTCTGGGAGGTAGCTCCAGGCTCCAGTCCAGCAGACAGCATGGGAGGACACAAAATCCAGGCAAGCACGCCCCTGCCGTTGTCTTCTCACTACCTCCTCTTTTGCCACCACCTACAGAGAACATGAATACAGAGCATCTTCAGGGGAGCTCATTCCCCTCATGGGACAGAGGGAAGGAATGAGGACCAGGCAGTGAAGGAGGCCACAGTATGAAGGCTTTTGCCTCACCTTTCTGCAGAAGCTGGAAGAAAGTCAGAAGATGGTGCAGGGAGATGGCAGGAGTGAAGAGGACTGACGCTGATGCTGCTCAGCTCTGCCACTGCCTTCTCCTGGGCAAGTCAGCCACAGATGCCATCTCCATTGTGCCCTCAGCTTGTCCTGTCCCCTTTCCAGGAGTGACGCAAGTTGGTCAAAGCCATGGAGGGTTTCCAGAGGAGGTTGAGCATCAACATGCCCTGGACACCAGTGTTCAAACCCTAGGGCAGCCAGGCCAGCCCGACTCCTGGCCCAGCTGTGCATAGGTGTGGGTCACCCGCAGCCATTTTGGGGTGCTCAGCCAAATGCAGACAGGCACAGGGAGGTGGCAGCAGGGGCCGGGAGCCCTCGTGAGGGGCAGCTTGAAACCTGTATGGCTTCACTTGCCGGTGCCTGAACGACTCGGGGTGGACCAGCCCTG